CAGCCATCACCTCAAGGAACCAGGGCTCCCGCCGCACCGTCTTCACATCAGGAAGGTGTGGTGAGCATCTCGGTTTCATGCACGAGCGTGCTGGAGCAACAGTACACACGAGGAGCCGTCCAAAGTTGTAACTCGTCCCAGGAAGGCAAGCTTCGGGCGGAGCGCTGGCCCCAGCTCGTGTTTAGTTTTGGGCACCTTGTTGCCATCATTGCGCCACGAGGTCTGGACATAACGAGCAGGGAAAGCTGCACGTCTCTCCATGGCCAGTCCTGGCTACCAGGTGACACTCTAGAGCTGCTCAGGTTTTGTCTGATGCCTTCATTCTCTCTCAAGTTGCGACTGTCACAAAGCAGCGAGCGTGCCCTTCCGATGTGCACAGTGAGGCTGAACGGACATCACGGTGGTTCCGCAGCCGCTTCCCAGCCTTTTCCTTGTTGGCTGCCCCGAACCCGTTATTCACGCTTCTCGGTGGCACGGGCCATTCGCCGCACGTGTTTCCACACGCCGTCTTGGCTGGCGGGTTGCGTTTTCCTCTCCCTAGCGCCTGCGGTTAGCACAAGGTTGGACATTTGCTAGGTGCTTGTTAGACGCCTGTGAGAAGTTGGGGTGTGCTTTGAAACGTGTCGGCAAAACGTTCCGTTGTTCCCGAGCAGGAGCTGTTCTCGTGGAGGTATTTTTATTACTTACAAAATGTCGAGCCAAGTTTGGGCAGGGGCATGTGATTCCTCAGTTTATCGTGTGTGGTTCTGATTTTACCAGTGAGAGGAGACCCTGGGGTCTCCAGGCGTGCCAACCTGGCGGCTGCGATGATCTCCTCTCCCAAGGTCTCCCAGCATGGGGTGCAGAGACTCGACACCACGCTGGGCCCACTGGAAGCAAATCCTCCCTCTGCCGATCAATGCTATGTATCGATCCTTTTTATGAATCACTTTAGACTCCCTCCTGCTATGTTTCCAAGTGCCCTCCGCAGAATCTCCTGGGGCACTCGCTAAAAATCCAGACTCTCAGAGCCCCGTGCCCAGACTCGCTGAACCCACACCTCCGGCCGTGGGACCGAGGAGCCTGTTTTTATTCTGCTTCCAACAGTGATTCTTCTGCACAGAACGATGTGAGAACAAAATGTAGCGACCCCTGTGAATTTTTTCATACTACTTTTGACGAAAATGAGAAGGTCTCGGAAGAGATGGTTTTGGGGACTGGGTTTTTCTGTCCACGGTTGCAGGGAGGGCTGTGTGCATGGGGGCCCGCGTCACCACCCCCCTGCATCGAGGTGGGCCCAGAGACTACTTCTGGCCACTGGGACGGGAGTGGAAGGTGTGTGCGTCAGTTGTGGCCTGAGACAGGTAACGGCTGTGGTCGTCACGCTCCCGCGGCCGAGCGCAGGGCCCTAGAGGAGGGCAAAGCCATAGGATGAGAGGAGTCTGGGGAAGGAGCAGGCACAGCCCTCCCTGCAAACAGGGGCCACGGCAGGAGTGAGGACCTGTGTGGCGGAGGGCTCTTGCCTCTGCTGACGGGGACACGAAGGGACTGACACAAATAGGCCGGGCACGTCCTGACCCTCCGAGGCATTGTTTTGGGAAAGGAGCGAACGCCAGGTTATAAGGTCTTGGGGCGTCAAGCCCCCAAGTCTGCACGAGCAGGAAGTGGGTGGCACCAGCGGCCGCTGCCCCAGGACCTCAGCCGTGCCACGGAAGGGTGCGGGTTCTCTCCAGGGAGGGGACCCGGGGGCCACGAAAGTGCCGGCCATGCGGCCTGCTGGAGCAGCGGGAGGTGCTGCCTCTGCGTTCCCAGGTCTCCAGACCCGGAGGTGCGTCTGCACCCGGTCGGGGGCTGCCTGCGGTTGAGCTGAATGCGTGTAGCTGGGGTCTGGGGCGGCTCGAACGAGAGGCGGGTATCTGGTCGCCAGCGAGTGATCGCAGATGTGACTTCGCCCTCTGTGCTGTCTCTCTTCCGTGTGTCTGGGGTCCTCAGAGGTGGCTGTGTCCGGGGGCCGTGCTGTCCTGCTCCGACCCAGACGAGTTCACGTTTCTAGCTGTCACCAAGGGCGTCTGAGCGTCATTGGTGCCCAGCAGCTCTGGCTTCACCATCTTTTCCGCTGGGTGGTTGAATGAAGGGCCGGCTGGGGTCCTACAGGAGGTCAGAGCCACGAGACGGAAAGAGCTTGCGCCCCAGACGGCCGTGTGGAAGCTGGAGCCGGAGCAGTCACACGGGACCGCAGGCCAGAGTGGACGCCGACCGCGTTCGGGCAGGTGCCTTCTGAGGTCGGCGTGTTAGACGTGTGAGGACCCGGGGTTCCCGTTAGTGGAGGTGGAGCCCGTGGCCCTCCGTGCCGCTACCACGGCTCAGTGTTCAAGCGCCCCCAACTCTGGTGCCTCACCGCCCGTCGCAGCTCTGTCCCGGAGACTCCTCACTCTCCCTGCGACATTTCCTTCTCCCTCTTCCTTAATGTGCTCCGTTTGCAAAGCCCCTCCTTCGCCCTCCGCTCTCCACTGCTTTCTGATTTGTCCCGCTGGTTCTCAATCCCGACCTCTCCCCACCGGTGAGCCCTGCGTCCCTACCTCCAGCCCTGGTGCTGGTGGTTGTCCGAGCACCTGCCTTCTCCAGCTCGGTCCCCTCGGCCCGGGGCTTCATGCATTAGATGCACCCTTCCTTGTCCCAGGGCAGAAACCTCAGACTTCGTTCATGGGGCAGTGGCATGAGCCATCACCTTATGTGTGTGAATGACGCTAAGACTGGGGTCACAAAGACACGCATGTGGATGGCAGGCTCATTATCAACCCTGGAAGGGGTCTTCCAAGGTGGGCTTCAGTGCCCACATTCCCGACAGTGCCCACCCTGCCCTGTCCTGCCCTTGAGCTCCCATCCTTCGTATCTTCTCTCCATGCGTGACGCCGTGTCTGGCCCTGCCCCCCACTGTCCCCCTTCCCAAGAGCAGACCCCACCCCCATTTCTGTGTGGTGCTCACAGGACTGGCGGGTAGAGAGTCTTCTGCCACCCACCGCGTGAATTTTCGGGTATGACGTCTGGCCAAGTTACTGAGCGAGCAGGTGGGGTGCACATGTTCCTGTGAAAAGCAATCTCAAGGGCACACGTAAGCGATCGCTGTCTGTCCACAGGGTCACCTTCGTCACGCTGGTGGCAGTATTCCCGGCTCTTCCGGGACTGCCGTCTACACTGCAGGCTGTCCCCCCAAATGCCAGAACACTGCCTGCCCCTTGCGGAGGCACAGCCCTCACATTTCCACACCCACCCCTCCCGGGGCCTTGCACTCGAGGTTCCCGTAAGATGGGCGTGTTGCTGGGTCCTGAGAACATAGCCACGGGGCCGCCGGAGGAGGGCAGTGGGCAAAGGGGCAGCCCCGGGGGCTCGTCCTGGTGCCAGGCCCCCTCGCTCCACCGCGGCCGGGCCACCTCCACGGCCAGGGCCCCTGTGCTCAGCACTGCGTCCGTCTGTTGGGCACCAGCCACGTGGGGAGCTCGGGCGCCCACTCTCCCGGGCTCACACTCCGGTGGGGCTGGGGCATCACTGTCGCGCGGGGAGTTAAGAACACCTGAGCCCAGCAGCAGTCCTGGGAAGCCCAGACGAGGGGTGCTCTGATGCCCCCGGAGAAGCCGAAGGGCTCAGTGGGGCTGCCGACTTGAGAGGTGAGCTCGGTCCACCATCACGGGAAAGAAAAGTCCGCGAAGGTCCAGCAGGTGCCGTCAGACCTGCTTGTGTCCTCGCTTTATACCAAGACGAGTGGCCACGGACTCGGGGGAGGAGCGTGGGGGGGGGGCAGCGAGGCTGGGGGCTCGGGGCACCCGTGAGAAGTTTTGTGACAGAATTTACATTTTCCTTGTACTTTACAAGAAGAAGGAACGAAGGAGTATAAAGGAGCACATTAAACGTTGACTCTGTCACAAAGTTCCGAGCAAAACCTTTCACAGTCTTGTCTCGGTGAGAAACTGGGGCCCGTTTCTGTGAACCGAGCTGCAGGGTGGGGTCTGGAAGGGCCGGGTGCCCTGGCGGCAGTGTCGTGGCCCAGACACCGGCTATTCTGGCCTCGTTATGGAATTATCGATTACTAATACTCAATGCAGAGCCAACGTGCGGGGGTTCTGGGCCCTCTGGCTGAATCTCACTGCATCACAAAGACTGTGGAAGAACCCAGAACGTGTCAGGTTGTGATGAACCCACAGTGGTTATAAGTCAACACTTCATCCCCCGAGGGAGGTGGGCGCACGGGGGGGGGGGGGGGGGGGGACTGTCGCCGAGCCACCAGCCGTGGCACGAGCACCACAGGCGAACCAGGGAAATCACTCCGTCTTCATGGATCGTATCGGAGGAGCCTCTTCTGGAGAGTGAGACTTTCCCCTCTCATGGAGAGAGTTTTGAAGAACTATTTGATTTCCTAAGAGGGAAATAGAAGTTCAGGAACAAAATGTGTTTTTCAGGATGGCTTCTTTCCAACGACCTTGTGTATTTCATTTTGCTGTTAATTTTACTTTGGGCAAACACAGTGATGTCCCAAATCTGTTCTCGACGCTCACTGCACATTATCATTAGCATCTCATCCCAAATTCCAAGTTAAATATTGTCTTCATTGGAAAGTGGTTCCTCCGCAGCCCTGTTGCATGACCCACCCCCTGCTCCTGTGGAGCCTCTATTTTTCTCATCAAAAATCCCAAAGTCAGATTCATTCCCTCATGTTTCACAAGGAGTGCGTCACGGGAAGCCAATCACGATAGCTTTGAGCTCTTTAGTTTCCAAAAGGACACAGAGTGGCAGTTATTTTTCAGGGCAAAGAATGAGAACAGATCAAGAGGACCGGACTTTGTGCAGTTTGGGGTGGGCTGTGGGGGAGGGTCTCCCTGTTCTCCCCACAGGAAGACTCAGTTTGCAAAATTTTCTCTTCTTTCCTTCCTTCCTTCCTTCCTTCCTTCCTTCCTTCCTTCCTCTCTCTCTCTCTTTCTTTCTCTCTCTCTTCTTTCTTTCTTTCTTTCTTTCTTTCTTTCTTTCAGAAACAACTCAGAGCAAACGTTTTAGAGAACGTGGGGAGAACTAACTAGAGCAACGGAGAATCCCCTGACGACCCATCATCCAGCTGAACGAGACGGATACGTACGCATGTGCAAACGTAAACTGTGCTCCAGGAGATGATGGCATCACACCCTCCTGGTGGCCCCTGTCTTCTCGCTTTCTTGGTTCGTGCCCCGCCCTCTGTGCCTTTTCCACCGTGAGGCCGGCCGCTTTGATGGCAATCCCGATGTCCAGCGCAGGCGTGAGTGAGCTGCGTCGGGCCCCCCATGCTCATCCACGGCTGTAAAAGCCGGCTCGGAGGAGGCCCGGGGCTCTCGGCGAGCTTAGCCAAAGAGGTGACCGGGAGGGTGTCTGGGCGTGACAAAGGCACAGAGGGCAAAGGACCGGCCCACGTTGGCCGGTCGGGATGCACACACCTCAGGCCCTGGAGCGGCCGCATCGCGGGAAGGTGCGGTCGGGGCAGGGCTGAGGGACAGTCAGCTGGTGACTCATCCCGTGGCAGGGGCTGGGGGTGCTCCCGTTAGGGCGCTTTGAAGCCACTGCAAGGTCACGGCTAAGATGGCATAATTGGGTCTATAGATGGGAAAGATCACGGCAAGGCTGTGTGCAGGGGGCCAGAGTGGGCTCGAGGAGGCCAGCTAGGAGGGGGTCGTGGCTTGTGTGCCCGGCAGCACCAGCCTCTGCTTCGGCAGCGGCATTTCCTGAGGCAGGAGTGTCAGTGAGACAGCAGGTGCCGCGGGCAGTGGGGCCGGGGAGGGGGCAGGAAGGTGCTGGAAGAAGGGACACATTCAATTAAAGGAAGAGGGTACAGGTGCGGTGGGGAGGCTGGGGGCCCCTGGTAGATGGAGAAATGAGAGGGACGTACAGTGACTGTGACCACTCCTCCTCCACCCCCTCCGCACACACACATGCACACACACGCCTGTGTCCACACACACACGACACACACACGTTTCTCTGTGCACACACACACGCACACACGTGTGTTTCTGCACACACATGCACACACGCATCTGTGCACACACATGCACATGTGTATCTCTGTGCACACACATGCACAAGCCTATATCTGCACACATATATACATACACATATATACTCCTACACACACACACACGCACACACCTACATCCGCGTGCATCCATATCTACGTGTGAACGATTCACACACACGCACAAGCACAGAACCCAGGATGCACGAGGGTCTAAGGGGACAACGCAAGCGTCCATTGGGTGAAGGAAGGAATCAAAAAGAAACGATGACTTTGAGTTCTCTTTGAGTAAAATCCTAGGCCGTCTTTTTATCTTCTGGTTACACAGGTGTAGGAAGTAATAAATGTTTAACGGGCTCAAGGAGCCAGGAAGCAGCGATTGTGGAAGTTGAACAAGTTTTATCTGGAGGTGGTCAAAATCACATGACTGGTCGGTGAGGGGGGAGCCCCCACCCCGCACACGTCTTTGTTTCCAACCTGGAGGCAGCAGTTACCCTGGCTTCTGACTTTCCCGAAGAATGCAGCCCAAGCTTTGTCTTGGGAGGTTTTCCCGTTAGTGTTAAAATACACACATTTCTCTCTGCACAAAACACGGGCCTCGTCCGCACACATTTAAAAAAATCACACATGGTCTCATAGTCTGTCCCTGGGGAAGGATCTTTTCTGATCAGGAGGGTCCTGAAGAAATGCAAGTTTACGTTTTTTCTGGTTCGCTTCCAGTTGCTTCAACAGAGATGGAGAATCTCTCTCTCACCACCGCATTTCCACAGAGCGATTGAAGCCTGACACACGGGACAGGGGAGGCACCCGCCCCCCGCATCCGCGTGCGCTCAGGGCCGGGTCGCCGGGCCACGGGGAGGGCTCCCCAGGTACGCGGAGGTCCACTCTCCCGCCTCTGAATCTGATGCTTCTCCTCTCTTTCCGAAATGGTAATTGTCTTTTGCTTAGTTAGCAATTGCACTGGAGACTGTGGCCTTTGGACATTTGGGGAAAACGTGTGATGTGAGATTCATTCCCTGGAGGGGACTGAGCTGTAAAGGGTTAAGTCACTATGGGTAAAGTCTCCCAGCTCTCTGAACTCTGCTCGAAGAACTTCTTGTAAAAAAAGCTGGCACCTCAATCATTTTTTTTCCAAAAATATCATTTTTTTTTCTGAATCAAAAACAACGCAAGCACGTTTTAGAAAAATTGGAAATGAGAGACGTGCGAAAAGCTAAGGCATCTCCCACTACTATTTCATCCTGAGACACTGTGCCAAAATTTTGTGCCACCTGCTCACAGGTACGTGAACCTGCAAAGGGTCCACACCGGCACGAGAGAGCGCGTCTTCTCCACCTTGCTCACTGTTGGGAGCGGGAAATTGGCCGTCGTGGGAGAATTTACTCCTCAGAGATTGTCGCCACTCTTTCTCTTTTCGCACACCAGCACACCACCGTCCTGTCACACGCATGTAACACAATTAACATAAACTTTTGCTCCCCTGAAATTTAGGATTTTTCCAGTGACTTGCCATTGTCATAATTGTGAAGATCTTGTACGTAAATCTTTCCCCACATTTCTGCTTGTTTCCTTAAGAGACCATGCAGGACGTGGAGTTTTAGGGTCAGAGAGTAGGAGCATTACTAAGGCCCTCGATGCACAGCTTTGAATGACTTTCCAGAAAGACTGACCCCGTTTCTATCCATAGGAGCAGGTGTGTGAGTGTCCTACACCTGTTGGCCTCAATTATCACCGTCTCAAACAACCCTCCCTAATTCGGGAGGAGGCACAGCATGTCACTGTAGCCTTAATTCATGTCTCAAGTGATTAGCGAAGGTGAATTTTAAAAAACGTGTGTGGGCCACATGTGTTTCCTTTCCTGTGAGTTCTTCGTGTCCCAGTGATTCAAGCCGCAAATGCGGAAGGAGGCGTTCACGACTGTCTACGGCGCTCACGGACGTTAGAGCTCGCTGGTTGGAGTGGGTCTGGATGCTCGTCACCCGCTTTCCAAGTCACGTGAGTGGATGGCGCTCGCTGGCGGTGTGGACCACGCCCGGCCCGGCGCCCACCGCGGGGGGCCTTCCTGATCCCATCGCTCTGTGCAGAAGGCACCTTGGGTCACAGGGATGGGGTGAGTGTCGAGACTCTTGTCCAAGAGCCGTTTGGTTGCTCTTTGGACTCAGTGACGACTCCACACAGAGTAACTCTGAGTGCGGTGAGACCCGACTTCACCTCACACACGTGGTTCGCAGGCCTGGAAACCACAGGGGGCTTAGAGTTACCTTCCGGAAGCTCCTCAGTCATACCAGCAGCCATCGAGCATGAGGAAAACTGGGTCCGATTTCTGGAAACAATAACACACGTGGCATTAGGGTCTCGGGGCAGGAGGCGAAAAGAGGGATTGAGTGGACACGTGTGTGTGGGAGGGGCACACACACGTGCGATTTCATGGAGGGAAGCTGCCAGCCGGGCTCCGGGGTCAGAATGGGCTGGTGACGAGGACATGGTCCTCCACCACTGAAGTTCCTGGACACTGCTCCTCTAGGAAGGCACGGGCACGGACCCCACAGACGCCCGGTCCAGCCTCCACACTGGACTCAGGATGCTGCTGGGGACACTTGAAAGGACCATCTGCTTCTCTCAGACCTCCTGCTGCTGCTGTCACCCTGGAAGTTCCGGGAAGGTCCCCATCCATCAAGGGGGAGGGGGCCCCTGTCCACCAGGGGGGAGGGGCCCCTGTCCACCAGGGGGGAGGGGCCCCTGTCCACTGGGGGGGGCCCTGTCCACCAGGGGGGAGGGGCCTCTGTCCACCAGGAAGGAGGGGCCTCTGTTCACCAAGGGGGAGGGGCCCCTGTCCACCAGGGGGGAGGGGCCTCTGTTCACCAAGGGGGAGGGGCCCCTGTCCACCAGGAGGGAGACCTCCAGTGCAGTGGCAGGTGGGGGAGCTGGGCAGCAGGTCTGTAGCGGGCGGTGGCCTCTGCCGAGTTCTCTCACCCTTACTCGTGCAAGATGCCGAGGCCGGACGTGCAGGAAAACGAAGCTGGAGACACGATGTGCGCTGACGACCCTGCACCTTTGTTTTCGGCCTTTGGGGGCAGCGAGGAAGCGACGCCCGGCTCGTATAGCCTCCGGACCGTGTGGGCGGTGAGGGCAGAGACACCTTCCTCACCGCTGGGTCCTCGGCACCCAGCACGCGGCGGAGGCCTCGCAGATCTGCGCAGCGCCAGGCTGTGCTACGGCGTCTGGTCACACAGTAAAGCTGACGTTCTCTGGGGGAAGGGCCCCGGAACTTTCCACAGCAGGAAGTCCGGCCCCCTGGGTCTGAGTCAGAGCGCAGGTGCTTCGGGTGGCCCTGTCCTCCAGGTACCCTCTCTGCGCAGAATACGAACCCGCTCTGAACTTCCGTCATCGGGGAACTGCGCCTTGAGGGCTGGGACCAAGCTCAGGGAGAAGCCTCTCCTTGAGTCTACCCCGGACCCCGCAGCATCCGAGTGGGAAGACGCCCCGTGGTGACCGTTTCTACTCAGCACAAGTCTCCCCTCGGGTCCGGGGACACCACAGGTCCACGGTGGCCACATGTACCTCCCTCGGGACCTCCGGGTCACACGCCAGGCCTGCCGCGTGTGTGCGAGGTCCTGGCTATTTTGGGGGAGGGGGAGGACGGCCCAGGGGAGCGTCCCTCTCCCCCAGTTTACTCATCACACACACCCGCCCCTCTCGGCTGACTCTGGGAGACACGGCTGGAATCTGACCTGAGGGTTTCCTTGTCCGGAGTCCCGGTCACCTGCACGCTTGTGTGGCCCGTGTGGAGGAGGCCACGGAAGCCTGGCGGCCTGTGCACGTTGCAGGGAGGGCTGGTGTCCACGTCGACGTGCCGCGCACCCTCTCAAGGTGCCACGGTTTGCGAGGCTGGGCTGTCAGCGGGAGCCTGCGGGCTCCGAGGCCCCGGACTATCTAACAGGCACGCACCACAGTGGGTGACTGGGGCTAAGACAGAAAGCACACCCATTTCTCTTGACAAGTAAGGGTGTGACTTTCTCCCGTGGCTACTAGTTGTAGGCCACAAGTACCAGCTTGTACTTGGTACTACGAGTACCAAGCACAGGACCTGCTTCTCGTAAATGCAAGGGTCTGCGATGTCTCTGGCTGGGGGTGCCGCCAGGGGTCCTGAGCGGAGCGGGTTTGGGATCTTCCGCTCTGAGAGTTGTAAGGGCCTGGGGCCAGCTGTGCCCAGTGGCCCGGGGGCAGCCACTCCCCGGGAGCTGGCCTCTGGGAGGCCCGGGCGTGGGGTCCAGGGGTGCCGGAGTGCCAGGAGCTGCCCCTGCTACGGGCCACGGGGGACGGTCACTCAGGACAACGTGGAGGGCCCGGCCCGGCCTCGCAGCCTGATGCGGCTCTGGCCCGCGTCCCCAGCCCGCTGCTCCCTGGGCTCTTGGCCACCGCTCGGCCCCATTGCTGGCTTGTGGGTCGGCGCTCACAGGACACACACAGGAGGTGTGCGACCGGCTTGGGGAAGGCCGGGAGCTATGTCCTCGTCCATCTTGGACAGGAGTCCGGGTGAGGCGGGGGGGCGCCTCAGACTGACGGCGTGGAAGCCGCGGTCTCTACAGTCAGGCTTCTCTTGAAAACCGCCGTCGTTTCCGGGATCTCCTTCACCGGGCCCTTCCTTTCCAGTTTCTACGTGGCCTAAATAAAAAGGGCAATCACGCACACGTCTGCGTACCTTAGGAGAGGGAGCCTTCGGATGGGAGCTATCCCCAGGGGTCCTGCAGCTTCTGGAAGGTTCTGCACAGCGCAGGGCACGTGCGCCCACCTCTCGGTGAGGACCTGTTCTGCGTCGTGGAGGCTCCAGAGGTTTGGTGAAGATGTCTGATGCTTGAGGGGCTCAGGGCCAGGCCTTCGGTAAATTTGGAAATGATAAAAATAGGATCGGTTCAATGCTGTGTGCTTTTCCATCATCAGCAACTTTACTGAAACAGTGAAAATAGGTCAGATTCTTCCATACAAGCCGGTTTAGTGTTATAATTAAAAATCCAAACCCAAACCCAACCAAAAATTACATTGCAGGCTGACATGCTGTGTGGATAATTTGTGGAAAGTTTATGTGAACCACAAAATATTCCCTTCATTTGCTAGTTATTTATATTGAGGAGAAATGAAAAACTTTTGGACTTCAACCAAGGTAAGAATCATGTGCAGTGTTTTGGTCATAAATATAAATGCTTAGAAGCACTTAGCTGAATATTCCTAAAGTGAGTGGGGGTCAGTCACTGGCCTTCACCGGTTCATTCAGATCGCTGAACGCAAATGCCCCCGCGCCCTCCAGAAAGCCTTCCCAAATTTGCAGCTGTTTGTGAATTCGCTGTTCCCAGTGAAGCAGGTTCACCACCGACACACGACTCTCTCTCGGTTTGCTATGGCTCAGTGCACAAGCACACGGTGTAATTATGGGCTTTAGAAGACAAATGTTATTTACCTATTTCAGATCATTGGGCGAATCGTGATTTCAAAAACATTAGAGACTTTCCCTTTACGGTCCGTATTGCTTGCTTGCGTGTAAGGGAGTGCTTGGCTTGTGGCTGCGGGAGGCCCCTCTCTGCTGGCGGACTTGGGAACATCCGACCTTTCCCATAATTGGGCTCCTTTCTTCTCTCAGGTCTTTCCAGAAGCCCCAGGGCCAGGAGTGAGGGGAAACGGTGGCTCTCCCTGGACAGGAGCAGAGGCGGGCGTCAGACCGTGACCCTCTCCAGACGTCCCTACGCCTGCGTTTCCACCGGCACCTCTCCCTGGCCAGTTCCCACTCGGTGGTCCTGGGCGGTGTGTCCTCTTGCCTACTGGAAAGTGCTTCCACAGGGCAGGGACTCTTGATAACTTCTGTTTGACCCGTGAGACAGCCCTTAGCTTTTTAAAACTCTGTGACATCAGAGCCACAGGCATCCACAGGTAGTAAGAGTGGCCAGCTTCTTCTCGCTGGGCCTTTGCCGACGTTGACACGAACGTCATGGGTTCCCACCGTGCCGAGCAGGGACACGATTGGCTGGAACTTTCCGGAAAGCTTGGTTTCTCCCGTGGAGAAGTTAGGTGTTCGTGCTGTAGGACTTTCTGTTTGCAGAGGACAGTGAGGAGTCGGGAGAGTCCCAGGAAGGGTTTGTACTGAGTGCACATGTCGTGGCAGAGAGCAGAGGCACCTTCTCGCTTCTCCCAGAACAAAAAAACCATCACATGTTTGTGGTTGACATTGGCTGGAAAGTAGGGATTGATGGTTAAGTGAAATTAGACAGTTGAATACAAAGTTTATTTATTTTAAAAATACATCCGACCGTACAGCTTTGCTCAGAGATACCTAGTGCCAGGAAGTGTCCCTTCTGAGTTCATCCTGTAGAAGCAAAGGTCACCGCTGACGGTGAGCCCCAGCAGGGGACAGAGTTCGAGGGCCCTTCTTTGGCACCCGTGTCCGTGCGATCACGCCAGCCAGGGGGGTGGACAGGGCACTTCCCCTCCGGGTTCTGGTTCTTGGTAGAACAGCCCAGCGAGAGCCCTTTGATAAAGCAAAGCAAAGTGTGACTTCCTTGTTGCACCTGTTTCGAGAGGGGGCTTGAGGGCGAGACAAGAGCGGACCTGGCACGGGTCTCATCTGAGCAGCGCAGGAGCAGACAAGTGGCCTCCCGCTCTGCTCAGGCCGCCGTGACACGCGCTGACCTTAACCTCACCCGCGAAAAGACAAGGTTTTGAGAAGTCTGTCTAGTCTGTGGGCTCCGAATCTGGTCCTGGGCCCCAGAAGTGTACCCGAGCACAGGGTAAGTCACGCCCAGCGGTGTCCCCAGCGGCTGCTGATTCCAGCCCGGCTGCTGCTGGGCCCTCCTCCTTTGAGTGCCTGGATCTGCTTATGGGGCCGCGTCTCTCCGGAGGTGCCCCAAACATGGGCACCCATGAACCTTGCGGCCCACCCTGCCCACCTTGAGCGCCCGCGCCCGACTCGGCTGCGCCCACTCCCCAGGTCCTCTGTTTACCCGTGAGGGGCTGCAAATGTGAGCTGGCTATGGGGGTGATTAGCAGGCTCCAATGTCCTCACATTAGCAGGCTGGAGCCCCTTTCCATTCAGTGCAAATTGAAGCGCCAGGAGGGGTCCGCGGGCATTTCCTAGAGGAGTCTGCGCACAGACAGGCTTCACGTGTCGTGAATAAACTCTGGAAGCAACGGAAGGGGTGGAGCGGTGAGAGTAAAATAAAAAGGAATTTTATGATCATTGTGGGAAATTGATGGAGTGTGGCTGGCATGGATTCTATAAAATGGAACGAGCTCCAGCCAGCCCCACAAGACAGGCATGCACTTTCCTTCCTGGGGCTTATGAATTATTGCCACTGCGTCGTCCCATATTTACTTCTTAGCGTTGAAC